ACTGGGACCTTGTCTGGGATTGTTCATGAGTAGCAGGGACTCACCCTGGTAAAGGTTGATCCTAGGCCTTCAGCCCCCTGATTCATTTATTTCTGCCATAAGCATTTTTTGAGCAACTACTCTGTCAGTCACTATTCCAGGTCCTCAGGATATAGCTGTGACCTAAACAGACAAATCTACCCTGGCAGAGCTGATCTTCTAGTTACGGTGGTGAGGAGACAGACAGTAAGGAATAAAGAAATCAATAAGTAGATGGTGTCATTTCTGAGGAGGTGATGAGTGCTGGGGGATAATTGGCAAGGTGAGGGAGCTCCGGATGGTTGAGATTTTAAATAAGGTAATTTGTGGAGGGTTATCCATGGGAAAAGGTAGTATTTGAACAGGGGCCTGAAAGGGGGTAAGGGAGTGAGCTGTTTTTGGAATCTGGAGGAAGGGTATTCCAGGTACTGGGAACAGCCACTGCAAAGGCCCTGAGGTAGAACTGCTACGTATGGTTGCAGAACAGCAACTAGCAATGACTGAGGGGGAGGTGAGGCCAGAGGTAGTAGGGGTGAATGGGGTAAGACTTTGTGGGCAATACTGAGGACTGGGAGGTTTATTTTGGGTGATAAGAGAGATGTGGTGCATTCTCAAAGGAGAAATGTGATCTGGATTGTAAAAATCTGGGTGGGACCTATGGGTCCCAACTCGATTGAACCTTTCAGCAGTCCTCAGGACAGCTGGTGTGCACTGAGATCCCCCCCCCCACAACCCCAACCAGTGGTTGGGTCTGGGCAGGACCTCGCCCCTGTACCCTTTACTTCGGCAGACCAGTGGAATAGTCCACTAGTCACCATGACGATGGTTGCTGAGGGGAGGTGGGAGGGCCTTGTGGCCACAGGGAGCAGTCTGCCTTGGGAGTAGGGGGTGATGTGGGGCTGGTGCCAGCGGAATGTGGCATTCTATGGGCGTGCCCGGGGCCATGTCAGTGGTCCCAAGGTCATGGGCGAGCCCCCCGCCCCACCCATGGCCAGATCTATCACTTCCGCTGCACCTGAGAACGCCTGCTGTAGAGCCCTCTGCTCCCACACTGAGGCTGCCTTCATAGAGACCAACAGTCCACCGGTTGGGCCCTTGTCCTCAGCCAGCCACCCAAGCCTCAGTACCCAGGTGGGCTACTTGGGAGCAGGGTGCCCAGGGGCTGGCCATAGGTGGGCAGGCACCGGCAAGGGTTCCCATCCATGCCAGGTTTCCAGAAATCTTGAGTGGTTCCAGGGCTCCAACAGTGGTTGGGTAGGCATTGACACAGTTCATGTCTACGTGCCTCACTAGGTTGTCATGGGTTTTAGGGGGCCCATGGTGGTCAGACAGATGTTAATGTGGGACCTATTCCCATCCATACCCTCTGCTCAGGTTGCCATGGATCGGATGAAGAAGATCAAACGGCAGCTGTCAATGACACTCCGAGGGGGCCGAGGTGTAGACAAGACCAATGGTGCCCCTGAACAGATAGGCCTGGATGAGAGTGGCGGTGGCGGCGGCAGTGACCTTGGAGAGGCCCCTACTCGTGCAGCCCCTGGAGAACCTCGCTCTGGACGGGGACCACTCAGCTCTGCACCAGGTAGATCTACTAACTACTCCCACCCCCAGACTGGTCCTCAAATGCTGCCTCCCAGTCTCAGTTTCTCTTAGACTTATGTTCTTTTCATTTTCCTTTCTCCGTTTTCTTTCTCTTCCCTTCCATCTTCTCTCAACACGCTTTATCTGTCCACCTGTGCCCCTTCCATTGGCTTTGTGCCCAGGCCTTAGCGGGAAGAAGGGTGCCTTGCCTGCCAAAGCTGTCCTTAGTCTCCCTTTGCCCTTCTCCTGCACTTTGTGATGGCCCCCTCAGGCTTGGTGCCTGCCTGCCCGGGGCCTGCTTTCCCAGGGCCTTTGGCTACCTCTCCCTGCCCCCTGGGCCAGCCGCAGTCTCAGCTCACCCCTGGAACCAGGTTCTTTACTAGGTGACTATTTCCCCCTGTCCCATTCAACCTATCCTGACCTGTCTGAACCTCCCTGGGCCTTGCCACCCTTTCCCTGAGGGACTCCAGGCTGCTCTGGGGGTCCCTGCACATACCTGTATGATGAGGGAAAATATTCCATGGGGGAGGGGGTGTCCTGGGGCTCCTGACTCTACCTGGCCTGCTCTCCCTCTGTCACCACCACCAGAGATTGTACACGAGGACTTGAAGATGGGGTCTGACGGGGAAAGTGACCAGGCTTCAGCCACATCCTCAGATGAGGTGCAGTCGCCAGTGAGGGTGCGCATGCGCAACCATCCCCCACGCAAGATCTCCACTGAGGTGCTTAACCCCTTGTCTGGGTTGTGGGGCTGGAAAAGAGTGTTGGACCTGGAGAGGTGGAGTTCGTGGTCCTATTTCTCCTGTCTTGCCTTCTAGGACATCAACAAGCGCCTATCACTACCAGCTGACATCCGGTTGCCCGAGGGCTACCTTGAGAAGCTGACCCTCAATAGCCCCATCTTCGATAAGCCCCTCAGCCGCCGCCTCCGTCGTGTCAGCTTGGTGAGCATCTTCTGTTCCTGTCTTCTCCTCTTAACCACCCTTCTCTCCCTGACTAGTCCCCACTCCTGAGCCTGTTTCAATCTGCCTCCTTCACCCCACAGTCCGAGATTGGCTTTGGGAAACTGGAGACATATATCAAGCTGGACAAGCTGGGCGAGGTGAGGGAGAGCAAGAAGGACCATGATGGGAATGGGGTTAGTGGGAACTCCTTGCAGCCTTAAGCTCCTCTCCTGTCACTCTTACTCACTCCCCAGGGTACCTATGCCACCGTCTACAAAGGCAAAAGCAAGCTCACAGACAACCTTGTGGCACTCAAGGAGATCAGACTGGAACACGAAGAGGGGGCACCCTGTACGGCCATCCGGGAAGGTACAGACATCCCGGAAGATTTGCCCCAGGCTTCCCGAGCACTCCCCATGGTGCACACACACATCCCATAGTGAGATCAGAGGCTGGGGGTTATGAGACTTCCTTCCTGACACTCTGGGCTTTGTGAAAAAGTGCTCATAACCCACATATCTAGGTAATAATCAAGATAACCAGTAATCTGTTCCTGTTTGGAGAAGAGGCAGATGAATTGGAAAAGAAGGTACCTGCTTTGGTTCTGAGAGCCCCCCTGAAAGTGCTCACCAATTTACTTGATACAGCAGAGTCAGAACATCACATGCAGTGAATTCAAATTGTATAGAAATCGAGTGTCAATTTCACATGAAGCTGCAGGCCTGTGTATTAAGGGTTAGAGCAAGGACCCTTTCCAGAAACCAAAAATGGGTTGTGAAAATCTAGTGTCACATAATCCTGATGCTGCAGTCCCAGGTTCTTGTTCCATATACTTCTCTGAGCCTTCATTTCCACATCTGGGACATGGGGACACACCTTCCTGGCATTGGGTGGGTTAGAGCCTGTGGCTGTGAGGTACCACCCCAAACTGCACAGGGAAAGAAGGAAACCTTGGGCTCGTCCCTGTCTAGTGCTTGTCTTTATTCTGAGGATGGGGCTGTGACTCCTTCCCCATCCCACCCCCATGCTTCCTGCAGTGTCCCTGCTCAAGGACCTCAAACATGCCAACATCGTCACACTACATGACATTATCCACACTGAGAAGTCCCTCACTCTTGTCTTTGAGTACCTGGTAAGGTTATGTGGCAGTGGGTCCTGGAGGGAGGTGGGAAGATAGCCAGGAGCCACAGGACATGACCCTCATTCTTCTACCTGCTTTTCTCTCCTCAGGACAAAGACCTGAAGCAGTACCTGGATGACTGTGGGAACATCATCAACATGCATAATGTGAAAGTGGGTGTGGGGCAGGATGCAGGGGCACAAGGGGAACTCTACTCACCCACTTCATCACACAAATTTCCTAGAAATGATTTTCCTGTTTGGCTTTTTTTCTGGGAGCCCTGGGAGGGCACTGGAACCCTGTCCTCTTTTGTGAGACAAGTCTCTGTGCTCAGTGTCTGTGTTGGGGATGGGGAGCAGTGCCTGCTGGGGTTAGGCTGCTGGATACTCATTGACCTCTGCTTGCCATTTTGGGTCCCTAGCTGTTCCTGTTCCAGCTGCTCCGTGGTCTGGCCTACTGCCATCGGCAGAAGGTGCTACACCGTGACCTCAAGCCCCAGAACTTGCTCATCAATGAGAGAGGAGAGCTTAAGCTGGCTGATTTTGGTACCCCCAGTCTCCCCCTTCTTCCCAGTAATCCCCCAGCCTTAATCTCCCAGCCTTTCCCTTCCCCATGACCACCTAGTCTCAGTCCCCTTCAGCCTTTCCAGGCTTTGCTTAGGACGCCCTCAGTCCCAACTGTATTCTCCCCTAGACTGTCCAGGACCACTTCAATTCCAGCTGCCCCTTCTCTCCACTTACCAGGCCTGGCTCGGGCCAAGTCAATTCCAACAAAGACCTACTCCAATGAGGTGGTGACACTATGGTACCGGCCCCCTGACATCCTGCTTGGGTCTACAGACTACTCCACCCAGATTGACATGTGGTGAGGACAGGTGGAAGTGTGGCAGAGGCTATGTGGTAAAGGGGGTGGCTTGATAACAATGGCCAATCAGCCAACTGCCTTCCCTATTTATTTACTGTGCCCTCCCTGCCCAGGGGTGTGGGCTGCATCTTCTATGAGATGGCCACGGGCCGGCCCCTCTTCCCAGGCTCCACAGTGGAGGAACAGCTACACTTCATCTTCCGCATCTTGGGTGAGGAGGCACGAACCCCAGGAGCTGTGGGGACATTGAAGGAGGCCCAGTGAGATGCTTAGGGTAATGCCTCTTCCTGCCAGGAACCCCAACTGAGGAGACATGGCCGGGCATCCTGTCCAACGAAGAATTCAAGACATACAACTACCCCAAGTACCGCTCTGAGACCCTTTTGAGCCATGCACCCCGGTGAGGCTGGTGGGTAGGTGGGTGTTAGGGGCAAGAGTGCCCAAGCTCAATTTAAAGCGGGTTTCCTTGTCCTTGCGGTAGACTTGACAGCGATGGGGCTGACCTCCTTACCAAGCTGCTGCAGGTGAGACCACTTTCCTGGGCCAGCCTTGGGGGCTAGGGGATTCCAAGGGTGGGGAAGCAGGGAGCTGTAGGGGTGGGGAAGAAGAGAGACTTACTCTGTGAAAATGTTAATACTCCGTGTCCTCCGCCCCCCTAGTTTGAAGGTCGCAATCGGATCTCCGCAGAGGACTCCATGAAACACCCATTCTTCCTCGGTCTGGGGGAGCGGATCCACAAACTTCCTGACAGTGAGTGAAGCTGGGAAATGGACCAGCTGGTAGAGGACTGTGGGGACTGCTACGGACAGCTGGGCAGGTTGTGTAGGGCTCTGGCTATGCCACCTGTAAGGGGGCACACCCTTGTTCACACATGTGATGTGTTATTATAAAAAAGTTATGTAGGTTTTCAGTTCTTTTTACCTTTCATGGAAATTTTCAAATATACATAAAAAATACAATATCACTTTACTTTTTTTTTAAGTAAACATTTTCTTATTTTCAAATATACATAAAAAATACAATATCACTTTACTTTTTTTTTAAGTAAACATTTCCTTGTAAAGTATATACTGAGAAATGCACAGATCATAACTGTACTGCATGAGTTTTCACAAACTAAACACACACCCGTGTAACTGGCATACAGGTCAAGAAACGGGACTTGAGAAGCTTCCCCAAAGCGCCTTCTCATTTCCTTCAGTTGTCCCACCCCCGCCACCAAGGGTTACCACTAGTTTGACTTATAACAGCCTAAATAAACTTTCCCTGTCCTTGTACTCTGCAGAAATTGAATCATACAGGGTGTTCTCTTTTTATATCTGACTTTGAAACTTATTAACTTGGACATTTTAAAATTAAATGTTTATATATTAGACCAAATAATGAGTTCTCAAGTACTCCAACAGGTCATCAACTCATGGCCAATCTGGTCTTATCTGTATCCCCACTGATTATTTTCAAATTCCAGGCATACCATTTACCTATAAATAATTTCAGCATGTATCTATAGAATATTTTTTAAACATAACATCTAAAAAAGATTTGGCACACTTCACGTATCTCCCCACTGAACTAATCTAAATCATATCCTAAACACCATCCATCAAAATGCAATACCATTATTACACTTGATGAAATTAATAAGGATTTGGTGTCATATAATTGCTCATATTTCATTTTTCCTAGTTGTAGCTGGTTTATATGTGGGATTATTTGGTGGATAAAGGTCAAGCCTCTCAAAGAAAGGCAGCTTTTTCTAATTCCCCCAATAGGGCCATATGGTGAGTGGTCCTGGATGGCCCCATGGGTCATTCCCTACTTCTGTCTCTCTTCCACCCACAGCTACTTCCATATTTGCACTAAAGGAGATCCAGCTACAAAAGGAGGCCAGCCTTCGCTCTTCGTCAATGCCTGACTCAGGTAGATGCGGCCCTTACCCTCTTCCTTGCCCCATCCACCTACCTGCTTGTCCACCAACAGCCATCCGCTTTGCTTTTGCCCACAGGCAGGCCAGCTTTCCGTGTGGTGGACACCGAGTTCTAAGCCACAGACCCAGGCCCCAGCAGGCAGCAGCTGGAGGGATGCCACACCCCTCACAGGGCAGACCCCAACTGCATCCTCCCTGCTTGCTACCTGCCTGACTCATGCTCGCCTGCCCACATGTCCCCTGCTGCCTGTCCAAAAACACATGATCATTGGCCTGTCAACCCACCCATTGGCCTGTCTGCTGGGTGCTAACAAAGCTCTCAATGCTCCTTGCCTGGTCTGTTTGTCTCTCTCTGTCTCAGTAGTTGCCGGCGGACAGCATGGCCGTGCCAGCCTCCCACACTGAGGCCAGGCCTATACCCCTCCCCATCATACCCTCCCCCAGGACCACTACCCCATGGCCAGCCAGGGGTCTGGAGCTAGCCCAGGCTGGGGATCTCGACTCAGACAAGATGGGGATGCCTTGAGTCTGAGGTTTCCCCTGCTTGCTTTCCTGCCTGTCCCACCTGCCTCATGTTGTGTGGGCTTTTTTGTTGTTGTTCATTTCATTCATTGTTTTTTAATTATTTTAAATGAGGTTTTCATTTTTTAAATGCAATATCTCTATACAGACTGGCTGGGCCCCACCCCCTGCGTGTGGCCCTCCCACAGTATTTTGTGCAATGAAGCCCCGCTCCCAGCCTTTCCAAGGCAGGGACACAGCCCCTATTCAGAACCCTGACCATCACCAGACCCTGGGATCGGCTAAGGGAAAGCATGCCTCAACCACTCGCCTTCCTACCCCCCACCTGCCATCCCCAGCCGCAGGGGTACCTGGGGACTACTGGAGACTCTGGGAGATGGACAAGGTTGGGGCCCCAGTCTTTCCCTCTTACAGTCCCATAGCTGGGGCCTCCTTCCTTCTCAGGGTCTCCCTAGCCCAGCCCTCTTGCCCCCACCCCACTCGGTGCTGTTGAGTAGGGGCCCTGCCAGGAACTGACCAACTCAGTGAGGAGCCATAGTATGTCTATGTGCACAGGCAGGGACAGAGGGGCTGGCGGGGGGATGGGGTGTGTGTGCCCAGGAGTTATCCCCTAACCCCTGGGGAGGGTGAGGCAGGGCAGGGACAGTCTCTGGGCTCAGTCCCAGATGGGTGATTACCTCCCCTTCCTCCACTCTAAACCCTGGGTCCCTTAAATGGGGTGGGAGGGCAGGGGTGGGTGCCCTCCTGGTGGGGTTTGGGGGGTTGGTTCCTGAATGCACCATAATCACTGTATGAAATATTAAAAAGTCTAAAGAGAAAAATGTGATTGCAAATCCATACAAGGGTGAGGGTGGGCTTGACCCAGGGTGAGTACTCATACCATGATGAATTCATACCTTGTCCCCATAGTCTAGGGGAGCACTGGGAGTGGGCCAGGGACATGTCACGGCTGTGAAAAAGGCATCTGTGGGGTTGCACACACAATGGTGGAACACTGAACTGAAGCAGAGCAGGCTGAATGGAGGATGGGCTAGGAAGCAGAGAGAGAGGTATTAGATTTACCCAAGAATATGAAGAAGTTAGCTATACGGTAGGGACAAGAAGGTGTAGAGAGGCTGTTCAAAATTCAGACACCTGGAAGGCCCCCAAAACCAGGAGGTGGGGAGATGAGGCAGCAAGGCGCAGTATGACCACCACATGTCTGACTGGGACACCATGAGGCAGGCCAGTTGGAGGGGGAACATGAGGATGGTTTTTGGACCACTGAGTGAGTAGGGGAATCTTATAATACATGGATTAAAATTAGTAGTGGGTCATCAATGGAACTGAAAGTTTGGATTATTGGTGTCTAGAAAGTAATGGAAACCGTGATATTGGTGAGACAACCCTGGGAGGGATGCAGTGGTTTTGTGAGAGGCCACGGGTCAATTGGCGCAGCCTGGGACTTGACCTCAAGTGTGAGTATAGTCAAGGTTTTGATTCCCTTTGTCCTGAGACTTCTAGTCCCTGCCCCACCATTTTGGGCAAAGCCAAGAATAGACTTCGAGGCAGAAGAGGTGGAGCGGGCAAGACCATGTAAATGCTGTAGGTAAAATAGCAAGCCTAACTAAGTGGCTGGTTACAGAAGTCCATTGGCAGGGGCCCAAGGGTCTCTTATCATTCTACTATGTCCCTATAAGCACTTCAGTGACACCTCAGCTTGCAGCCTTATGGTTCCATGATGGTTGTTAACATCCTCAAAGACGGGAAAGCAAGCAGGGAAAATGGCACCCTCTCTCCCTGTTTCCTTGTAATAAACAGGACTGCAACTTACACGAGCTTTTCCACAGACTTCCTGTGCCATCCTTTGGCTAGAACAAGATGATATGGCTACCTCTGAGAGCAAAGGAGGCTGGGAAAATGACCTTGCAAAGGGGGACAAGATTGCCAGGCCAGACTTAGGTCTAGAATTCACACAACTGCTGTGGGAAGTGATAAGAGATCATTGGTGTGGGTAAAAGTTGACCTCTGGAAGGTGGAGAGAACGAGTCCAGGCCTGAGGAGGGAGGCCTCCTGGATGGTAGGGAGGACAGGCTGTTCAGGTAAGTAGGGAGGTGGAGTCTGCAAAGGGGCAATGAGGAAAGTCAATTCAGACTCCAAGAGCTGGGCTTGAAGAGCAATGTGCCATGTGCCAAACCCAATTCAAATGCCACTATGGGGAGCCCCAGGTGAGAGGATTGCTCCTTTTCTCCCTCAGTTTACACAATTGAGCTGTGATGCCTCATCTGTGCCAGGTCTGGGCTGGGGGCTGGAATCAGTAATAAAGACAATCCCTGCCCTGCAGAAGTTAACTGAACATAGAGGTAAATTTTGAGATCATGGACGTGGGGGTGGGGGTGAAATTGTGCAGGGAGAGAGTATTCTGGACACTCCAGGCCTAGGGGCCTGTGTGCATGGGGCCTAGAGATGTGGAAAGGCAGGGTGTGATCCTGCCTCGTAACGGGTGGTGAAGTGAAAGAACTCACTGAAACAGACCCAGAATCATGAGCCTGTCTTGGGTAGTTTGTGGGATGTCAGGTGGGGATAGCCAATAGATAGGTAGGTGCAGGGGGGCAGAGGGAAATTACCAACAGATAGGGCTGGGAGCCCTAGCAGAGAAAAGATTGGCACAGCCTAGCGCAGTGGTTCTGACTCAGATAATCCTGCCCTGCCCCAAGGGACTTCTGGCCATGTCTGGAGACATTTTTGTCCCAATTGGGTGGGGAGGGGGAGAGATGCTACTGGTACCTATAGTGGGCAGAGGCCAGGGATGCAGTGAAACAACCTACGATGTTTCCCACAACAGAGAAATGCCAACAGTGCCTAGGCGGCTGAGAAACCCTGACTTAGTGCAATGGTTCTCAAACTTTTCGTCTCAGGATCCTTTTATATTCTTTTAAAGTTGAGGACATCCAGAAAGCTTTCGTTTATATCATGTAGCCTCTGGAAAATGCCACCTCACATGCAAGGGAGAATCACAATGAAAAAGTATTGTGAAAATAGTTTTGACTTTGTGAACCCCCTGAGAGGGCCTCCTGAACCGGTGGAAAGCCTAGGACCACAGTTTGAGAATCTCTGGCCTGGTGTTTACCGTCATAGCTCTGGAACTGGAATTCCTGAGTTCCAACCACAGTTTAGTCACTTACTAGCTGGTGCAAAATGACAACGTTTCTGCTCCTCAGCTTGTCTCATGCCCATGGGCTAGTGTTATTATCTGCTATTTTTTAAAAAAAGCACTTAAACGGGGCTATTACTAGTTATCATTCCCGTGACTCCGACAAATGCAGAGGGCCTGGGGCTGACTTCCCTTCAACACATTTGTCGAGAGAATCTAGTTCAGGCAGGTAAGCGGCCCGCAGGCCTAGGTAGCACTCTGGAGGTGACCTTTCGCACTGGGTTTTGATGGACAAGAAAGGTAGTGCACTGAAGGAAGGGCATTCTACTCAGGCTAACAAGCCGTTCGCAGGGTAGTGATCCGTGATCCTCAGCAGAGCACCGACCGAGAAGACCCGGAACTTTGGTGTGCCCTTGAGCACGCCCCAGTATGTCTTCGTCCACCTCGAGACTTCTGCCTCCACCTTCCACACAACCGTTTGCCCGGACTCAACATGGCGTTAGAATCCCACAACGCACCTTTGTCTTTCTTAGCTCTCAACTGGAAGTTGTACCCCGCCTATTAGTTGCAGAGATCACCGCCCACCGCCCAACGCCCGCCTAACGCTTGGACGCGTCCTACCGTGGGGTCCACATCTAAGATGGTAGAAGCCCTCGGGCTGTTTGGGGGGCTCCGCTTCCGTTTCCGGGGCCAGAATCCGGAAGTGGCAATTTAGGGCCCTCTTCCTATCTCCCACTGCAGGGGTTGTGAGGGGAGGGCGAATAGCGATGGCGGCGGTCGCAGAGAATCTGCCGGCTGCGGCCGAGGACCAAGAGCCACAGTGCGAAGCGGTGCCGAGTCTGGAGAACCAGCGGCGCCAGATCGAGAATGGCGAAAGTGGGCGAGAGCGTCCACTGCGGGCTGGCGAAAGCTGGTGAGGCAGGGCTGTGAACCGAGCCTCGGCTGAGGGTACAGGGGGGTGTTGGCGATGGCGGGGGACGGAACGCCGAAGTCCGCAGGATAACTCCTGTGGAGGCAGGGGAGTGGCCTCGAGGATGGAGGACGACAAGGGCGGGGAAGTGCTTGTGAGTGGATCGTCTGGTCTGGGAAAGAGGCGGGGCCTGGATGGCGGCGCCGGATGCTTGAGAACAAGATGGGGTTTGTTGTGAAGAGACGGGGGGCGGAGCCTGAGAAGAAACGGCCGTAGGGGTGGGCCCGGGCCTGCGTGGTGGTACTTGGAACCTGGGAGGGAGGCGGTCACGGCGACGGAACCCGGCGGGGGGTGGTGTGATTTACATGGCGTCAGGTAAATCTCGGGGCGGGGGCGGTTGGTTGGTCAGCGGTGCCTGAGAACAAGGCAAGGCGGTTACGTCAGGCTGAAGAGCGAAATCCGAAGCCGAATGGCTGTGGGCGGGGGGAGGGAGCCGGCGCCTGGGAACGAGGCTCGTGACGTGGGCCGAGGGGCATGTTCTGAGGCTGAGGAAAGACTGCAGCAGAGGGGAGGTGGTGCTAGTGAAGCAGAAAATGGCGCCTGCGATTGAGCAAAGTTTGTGACGCGGCGAGGTTTTTACCTCTGGCCGAGGCTTTCTTCACAGGACGGGAGAAAGTTCAGGTGATTGGCGCGGGAGGGGCCTTCGATGTTACATTTGTTTTCTGTTTTGTACTGTTTCGTTTTTCTCAGGAAAAAAGAGCTATTTAAAAAAAAATGTCAATGAGTATCTTGATAAATCGTCTTGTTATACCGATTTCATTGCTAACCAGTGCTTGTAATGTACTGTTTCTGTGTTCATTTTGTTTCTTGCTGAGTTGCTTCTCCTTTTTGAAATTGTGAAATACGTAAACTCTAAACAGATTATGGAAAACGTTTACGTAGCCCAAATTAATGGACAGTCCATAAAAATAAACGGCCTGTGCTATTAAAAAATTTCAAGGTCGTGAAAGACAAAAAATGAAGTACTTTTCCAGATTTAAGGAATTAATGGGATCTAACGAGTGATGATAACTAAATGCAACGTGCGATCCTGGATTGGATCCCGGAGCGGAAATAAATAAATAATTTAAAAATCAGGCTTTGTTTCTCATAAAATTAATTTTCTCTTTTACTGTAAAAGATGTTAATGGAAAAATAGATGGAATTTGATTAGGTCTGTAGATTAGATATTAGTACTGCTAATTTCTAGATTTTGATAATATTATTGTGGTTAGGAAAGAATATCTTTGAAAGAACATGCCGAAATATTTAGGGTTAAAGAACCATCGTGTAAGCAGCTTACTCCCAAATGGTTGGAAAAATAGAATATATAAAAATATTTGAAGAAATAATGATCGAGCAAATGGGTAAAATGTTCAATTTGGGGTATCTGGATGAAAGGCATACGAAAAGTCTTTGTATTATTTTTACAATTATTCTGAGTCTATTTTAAAGTAAAAAACTTAAAGAACAATAAAACAAAAATTTGTGAATTCACCACTCGGATTAAAATTCAGACCGTTACTTTAGGAAATCCTTCTGTGCCCCTCCCAGATGAAAAGCCCCCTCTCTGCTCCACAGGAAACTGTTATCCTGAATTTTTAACTTCGTTAATGTTTTTCCACCACTGTATGCATCCCCAAATAGTATTTGTGGTCTAAGCTTTCATTTCATGGAGGATATATATGAAATTATATTGGATGCATACTGTGTGTATCGATATCAGGTGGTACATGGTATTCACATGACGTCATTGGTGACGTTAGCCTTGATCATTTAGTGAAGGTTGTATCTGCTCGGTTTCTCCACTGTAAAGGTACTGTTTTCCTCTTTATATTCACAGTAATTCCTTTAAAAACATAATTTATGCCCATACCTCAGAACATTTTAACAGCTTCTCATGCATTGTATATGGTAAAATTCTTATAATGATTTTTCAAGGCTTTATGATTGCGAGGCTTGTCCCCGGCTGATTTCTTCTCTGATCTCTCTTCTGATTACCCTCCCCCTCATTTTCTCCATCCGGCCATATTGGACTCTTGCTGTTCTCTAACGCCTCAAGCGGGCTCTCACCTGAGGGTCTTTACAGAGAAGTCTGTCCACCTTACAGAGTTTTTTAATCAAGGCACTGGTGAAATATATACTCCTGTTAAAAGGTTGAGATTCTCTAAATTTGGACTAGGAAACCAAGCTCTGTGTGTGTGTGTGTGTGTGTGTGTGTGTGTGTCTGTCTGTGTGTGTGTGTCTGTGTGTGTGTACACACATATATATGTATGTATATTCTATTACGCTATAGTTATCCAGCAAGGAAAAGTCTCAGTCCATCCTGAGAATAAACAATAACTGGAATATTTTTTATATCTCTTTTAGAGGCATTCAGGATTTCCTTTTGGGGCTGTTGAAAATGTTTTGGAACTAGATGGAGGTTGTGGTTGCACGACATTGTGAATGTTCTAAATGCTGTTGAATTGTTTGCTTTTAAAATGGTTAATTTTATGCTATGTGAAAAAAAGTTATGTTCTGTCAATAAAAAAATTTACCCCATCAATGTTGGTTCAGTATGAAAGCCAGTTATCTCCGCTGCTGTGGCTATCATGAAGCATTTTTCCTTGATTCCATTTTTTTGTGTTTATTTAGGTAAGAGCAAAGCATCTCAAGCTTCTTTAATTTGCCGTCTATTTTCTAGGTGTTTGCAGTGGTCTGGAAATTTGTGTTTATAAAGCATTTTGAAGTCACTGACTAACCCCCAAATCATATATTTCATATCAGTATTAATATTTGTACCTTCTATCTTTTGTCAGCTGGTAGGTCTGGGCAAGGGCAATTAAGTATTTTTGCCATCTGAACTTATTTAATTTCTAAGAGAAGCTTATATTTTAAGAGTAAATTCAAATCTATGATAGTATTCCTTGGCAAATTGTAGTTTTTGTTTTTGAGGGTGATTCATCTACAAACATAATTAGGAAAAGTAGAGGGAGTCTCTAGAAGGTCTGTGTAGGGTGTGAGTAGTTTCCTAACAGAAGTAAGCAAGCATGAGGTTCTTTGTTCAGGTAAAGGAAGAAAGGGTGGTTGGGTTCAGTGTTGAAGAATGGATACTGATGTGTAAAGGGAAAGCAATAACATTTCATTGAAGGTTAGGGACTAGCCTAGAGATGTTGCAGGATTTTTGTTACTGGAAAAAGCTGCACAGCACGGGGAACAATTAATTTAATGAAGACCCCAGAATTAAATCAACTGAAATTTTCACATTTGCTTGGTGATTGCTGCTGTACCTCTTACACGAGGTAGGAGATGCTTTGGCGACTGAATCTAATGAAAGACTGAAATAAACAGTAGACCTCTGACAATTCTCTGGTAATTGAGTTAGTATTCCTAGTGTTTGTTCAGACTTTTCATGAACCAAAAGGGAAAAGGGTTCGTGAATCTAGAGTCTTGGAGAGGGGACTCTTGGTAGACAGCTACTGTACCAGTCTTTGTTGCTTGAACACAAGTATGATTTTTATCTTGAAAAAATATGCAGTTATTGAAAAATATATTAGCATATCTAATTATATATATGTAACCATTATTCACCTAGGAAGATAAACTTTTGTCTTGTCATTTTTTTAAATATTAAGTTTGAAAATAAACGCTTTTATAAAACATTTAAGTTAATTAAAATTTGGAGAATTTTAGATAAACCTAATTATGCCTATTATTCCTTTTATAGAGCAAATCTTTTTTCAATCTCCCAGAGATAGTTTAAATATAAAAGACCATTTTAATAGTGTTGTTATTCTGAATTTGGAGCCTGAATTTTGGAAAGACAAATCAAGAATAGTTGTTAGAAAAGACAAGATGTAAGTTGAAGTAAAGACAAGAAATACTATAGTCGGTCAACTTTGTAAAAACAGTGATAAACTGCAAAGATTATTAGGAGCTTAACTTTTATTTTTAAAGCAAGGAATCTCTTTTTAAAATGAGTTAAGGTATTTTTTAAAATGAGTTAAGAGGATGTCAGAAAGCACCAAGAGTTAATAATTTGGTGACTAAAAAAGCATCTAATCTAGGCATAAATTAATGCAGTCATTTTACAGGAAAAGGCCCAAATTCTAATTTTTCTTCTTTGGTACATTATTCATTTAACAAATTACAGGAAAGGATTTGTTTATATGCCTTTATATGTATTTAGGCTCATGCAGATAGGTAAATAATAAATTTAGAACAATGTAGTATTACATTTGCCATCTGAACATGCTAACAACCTTTTAATAAACAAGTAGGAAATCATCTCTTTATATCCATATTTCTATATTTCTGTAATGTACTTTATATAGTTAACCAATTATGTAAATTATCATCTTAACCAAAATCAGTTTTCTTTCTCCAGACACAAGTGAAAACTAGAAGACAGAAATGTTGTTTAGTAATTTATTTCCATAAGCACATATTTCATAGCATTTTAACAAATTTGAAGAAGCGCAAATAAACATAAGTGACTTCAGCAAGATCCGTTGTATTTCTATATACTAGTAACAAGAACTTAGAAAATTAAAATGTAAAAGATACCCTTTACTACAGCATCCAAAAAAAAAAAAATCAAATACCTAGGGGTAAATATAACAGCGTAGGTGTTTTGCAGTCAGGCAATGACAACTCTATTATGATTGCCATCTGGGCTGACAGATTGTTAGACATACCAATTTCAGAGAGGTTAAAAATGTTTCAGGTGTCTTTGAATTAAACATGGTAGTAACTTGTGAAAATTTGTGTAAAACTTCAATATTCTATGAAGCTTTTAGAAATTTAGGTTGTAGCCAGGTCTGGTGGTTTTGCTTACCCCTATAGTGTTTTTAATGTTAATTTTCCTTAAAAACCTGCTTTTAAAAAAAATTGAAAATTATATAATTGTATTAACCAATGTTACCCAATAAGCTTAATAAAAAAGTTGAGCGGTGCCTTCTTTTGCATTAAGAGTCCTATTAACAATAAATTAGCTTAACTGAATAAATTAACCTCAGACTATCAGTGGCCATGAAAACCATGAATGAGGTGTAAAGGGTTGGTGTTAGGATCTTTTAGATGAGTGATGGGAGGTCTTTGGCTCGAGCCACCCGGGTGGGGGCGGGGCTGTGTCCCTGACTTGAGTGAAGTGCAGGGTCTGTGGGGGATCAGTGCAGCCAAAAATACAAAAACAACCCCCACAGTTGTTTGCCTATCCACTTGACTTGTGATTATTCCAAGGTTTTTCTATTCCTCCACCTCCCACCATCTCTAATCCTTTTATTAACTATAAAGAAAGGAAAGTGGCCATTTTAAAGAATCCCTTTTATAGGGTTAAATTGCTAGAAAACCAATATAATAATCCAAATTTTAAAATCAGTTTTATAATTTTAAAAAAAATGTTTATTTGAGGCTGTTAAATATTTGGGATTGCCTTTTTTGTTTGTCATAAATTCCATAGCAGGGCAGGTTTGTATGTGTGGGACAGGAATTGTGTATCTGTGTGTGTGAGCTTTTATTTCAAATACCTGGAATCAAACAGGAACGGCTAACATTCATTTAGCATTTAATATATGTCAAGTATTTTCTAGACTTGAGAATTTCTCTTGACATTTTACAAAGGCAGATTTCAACAGTCCTAAACATTTATCCTAGTAGTGCATATAAAAGTTCCTCCTTTAAAAGAGCTGGTCGAGCTGTACATTTAAAAAATGAATCAGATGGTAAATTTTATGTTGTATGTTTTTTACCACAATTTTTTAAAAAATGAGCTAGTCACCATACGTTCAGAAATGTCTTATAAAGCCAAAATAAATCCTAAGTGAAAAAATGGCAATATGCAGTCTTTGAAGGGAAACCTTTTGATTCTTTTAGCATTTTAAATTCTTTTCAGTTTCTGATTAGATTTTCAGAATTTAATAATCCATTTCTTCGCTGAAGATTTTTGCCTCCACTAATGTGTCCTTGTTAGAAACACTACACACTTAACAAGTGGCTAAAGCCTTATAACATTAGCCACAAATAATTGATATTTTGAGCCTAATATAACTGTGTTAGACCACAGACTAATACAAGTGAATTATTGGTTATTCTATATTAAAACCTCATGTTTCCTTACACGGTGGGTGTGGGTTTTTTACCCTTTATTGAGCACATTTTCTGCTCTTAATCAAATCTTTTAGTGTCCTAAGAAGTTAGGTAATCTGTCTAAATCTAAGTTTCAGTGAATAAGTTTTGCTTCTAATTTATTTTTATATGATGCTGAAGTGTGTGTGTGTGTGTGTGCGCGTGCGCACGTGCGTGCATGGAATTCAGGGAGGAATTTTTTTAAATTGAGGTATAATTGATATAACATTGTCAGTTTAGGTGTACATGAAACTCATCATCTTGACTTATAATGTGTTGATGCTTTTAGTCTAATAATCTTGAGAAGTGGTAAAATTAACCCCAAATAACCATGTGACACCCGTTACCTGTCTGGTCCAGGTTCCTTGTGGAGCAGCACTGGTACAAACAGTGGGAAGTGTACGTGCAGGGAGGAGACCAGGACTCCAGCACCTTCCCCGGCTGCATCAACAATGCTAAGCTTTTTGAAGGTACCACACCTCTGCCTCCCCACATCAGCCTAGCCCTGGAGTTCTTGTCCCTTCTGTCCCTACAAACGATCATAAGCCCCTTCTTTGTGCTAGGTCATTGGTAAGATGGCCAGATGACTCATTACTTTCCTTCTCTGATTCTTCTTCTGCCACCACCCCCCACAGATCAGGTAAACTGGTGCCTCAAGAAGGGACTGGTAGAAGGTGAAGACTATGTGCTGCTCCCAGCAGCTGCTTGGCATTACCTGGTCAGCTGGTATGGTCTAGAGCATGGCCAACCACCCATTGAACGCAAGGTATAATGGGTGGGGAGAGTGCTCGGGGATACATTCTGTGGGGTGTAGGGTAGGAGGAAGGCCTCATAGGCCCAGGATGGGTCCAGACCCAAGTGTACATGTGTCTCCACATAGGCTGTGTAGATCCATCGGTGTCTTCAGTCCTCTCCCCTCAGGTCATTATAAGCTATCTTGGTGTATCTACTATTTGTGTTCACTTGTATGTGTGTTCCTCTGGTCTCAGAGGTCATTGTGCTGTGCCTGTGTGTATATGCTGTGTGGGTATACCTCTGTGTACCCTTCTACCCTACCAGGTCGTGGAGCTACGCGGCTTCTGTAAGGTCGAAGTGTACCCAGTAGAACTGCTGCTTGTCCAGCACAGTGATATGGGCACACCTCACACTGCTGAATTCAGCCAAACAGATTCTATTGGTGAGTCTAAGAGTCACAAATGAGTTGGTGTTCCCAGCCACGGGTCACAGCTCAGTTACCTCAGACTGCATGGGGTTCAGCTGTGGCAGACCGAGAAGGCACTGGGCAGACTTTGGAGGACTGAGAAGGCCTTGGTCAAGTTCAGTAGAGGCCCTGAGGAGTCCCCTAGTGTCCTGAGGGTATGTGAGCTGCATTCCAGTGGCTTAGTTGGTGTGGTGGAGGATATTTGCTGAAAGTCTCAAGTGGATCAGCCATTGGGAGATTTATTGGAGATACAAGGTATTGACTGGGTGGGTGTACAAGGTCTGTGGGGATGAGGTGAGGTCTGGTGCTGAGATGGGTCAATCATTCAGGGGCCTAGGACGACCTCAAATGTGTTCCTTCACCCTCCACAGACCTAGTTTCGTGCACTGCTCGAGAGCAGTTTCTGGTGAGCCCCCAGGAAGAGACACGGCTGTGGGTCGAGAAAGCACAGGGCTCTTTTGAAAGGTTGTGTAACACACGTGTCACAGTGTTTGACGCTGCTCTCAAGTCTGGGCAGGTAAGGGTGGGGAAGGCTTTTCTGCTCCCTAGCGGTGCCTACGGTGGGGGAGATGAGGACTGGGTGCCCATGAGCCCTCTATGAATTCCTTTTCTGCTTTTCTTTTTCTTCCTCCAACCAGTTGATCATCATGGAGACCCGAAGCAAGGATGGCACTTGGCCCAGTGCACAGACGCATGCTGTGTAAGCCCTTGGGGTATCTGGTCCAGATTGGGGGGGTCCCATAGTAGGCAGAATGACAGAGCCTGTGAGCACTTTTTACCTGCATGTAGTAAGCCCTTAGCTGATTGTTTCTTATCTACCCCAGGAATAGAGCGTCGAAGGAGGATGAGGACTTCCAGGGCCAGCCAGGCATCTGTGGTCTCACCAACCTGGGCAACACGTGCTTCATGAATTCGGCCCTGCAGGTGGGGCCATTAGGGCTATGTCTGGCATAGCCACAGAGGTGGGCTTCAAGCAGTGGAGGTTAGAGACAGAGTTAAGGGGTCTGCAGGGCAAGGGGTCGGGTTGGAAGCTAAGGCCCCGCAAGTCTGACTTCACATGCCCATGTTCCTTCCTGAAACATCAATACCTTCTCTGCTGGCCCCCCGCTTTTCCTCTTCTCCCTCTGGTCACCACATTCTTTCTTCTCCTGAAATACTACTCTCTTCTCTCTCCCGCTCCTGCGCCTTTCTTTCCCCTATCCCTTTGTGCCTTCTTTTTTTCCTCTTTCCCCTTCTTCTCTGTCTCTACCTTGTTCACCTCATTCTCGTGGCCCTGCCCCTGCAGTGCCTCAGCAACGTGCCACAGCTCACTGAGTACTTTCTCAAAAATCGCTACCTTGAGGAGCTCAACTTCTGCAACCCACTGGGCATGAAGGGTGAGATCGCAGAGGCCTATGCGGACCTGGTGAAGCAGGCCTGGTCTGGCCACCACCGTTCCATTGTACCGCAAGTGTTCAAGGTGTGTGACTCAGCCTTGGGCTACCCCCTACCCACCCCTGTCTGTTAACTCTCCTAACCCTCTTACTCTGATGGCCCTGCCCATTTTCTCAGACCAAGGTCGGCCACTTTGCGTCCCAGTTTCTGGGCTATCAGCAGCACGACTCACAGGAGCTGCTGTCATTCCTCCTGGATGGGCTGCATGAGGACCTCAATCGTGTCAAGAAGAAGGAATATGTGGAGCTGTGCGATGCTGCTGGGCGTCCAGATCAGGTAGGCACTCCTGAAAGAACCCCAACCTGAGGACCCCATTAAAGCCACTGGGACCTCTGCCTCAGGGATTCTATGGCGTCCCTAGGGTATCCCACACCCCACCCCACCCCACCCCTGACTTCAATGCCAGCCTCATTCCCAACCTTGGCTCCAGTACCACATATGCTGCCACACCTACCCCAGAGTTAACCTCCATTCAGTCTACTACCCAGAATAAACCCCAACCCTGTCAGTGAACACAGTCTCCAGACAGCCCTACCTGTAACTTTACATCTGAACTTTAAAGTGGCCCTAATCTTAACTTTAACCTCGTGTACATCCACCCCAAACCATGGTTCCCTCTGCCCTGGGCAAGCCCAGCCACCCACCATGACACTGTCAACAGGAGGTCGCTCAGGAGGCCTGGCAGAACCACAAACGGCGGAACGATTCTGTGATCGTGGACACTTTCCATGGCCTCTTCAAGTCCACACTGGTGTGCCCTGATTGTGGCAACGTGTCTGTGACCTTCGATCCCTTCTGCTACCTCAGTGTCCCACTGCCTGTCAGCCACAAGAGAGTCATGGAGGTCTTCTTTGTCTCCATGGACCCCCGCCGCAAGCCAGAGCAGGTATGGGGAAATGGGGATCTGGGGACATAACATATAGTCAAGAGCCAGTTTGATTACTCTGCCATACCTCAAGGTTCTTGTACTAACTCACTGCATGTTCTTCTGCTCTCTTGTGGACACTTTTTTCCCTCAGCACCGGCTTGTAGTCCCCAAGAAAGGCAAGATCTCGGATCTGTGTGTGGCCCTGGCCAAACACACTGGTGTCTCCCCAGAAAGGGTGAGTCTCCATGGATGGAGGGAGGGTGAGATTCAAGGGCAGGGAGGCTGAAGGGCCTGGGGAGACCTTGCAGACTGACCAGCCATCCCCCCTTGACATCCCGTTTACAGATGATGGTGGCCGATGTCTTCAGTCACCGCTTCTATAAGATCTACCAGCTGGAGGAGTCTCTGAGCAGCATCTTGGACCGAGATGATATCTTCATGTGAGTGGAGGGATTGGGGAGGTCGGGGTTCTTCAGAAACCTCCTTTGCTTAACCACTTTTCCTCTCCCCTCTCTGTTTCATTGACAGGGCACTTGCCCTGCATAGGGCTTAGGCCATATTCCTTAGTGGGGCAGGGGCTTGGGGCTGTCAGTGGGGTGGAGTGACAGATCCATATACAGGGCATCCTCTTCCTTATGTGTGGGGCAGGGCTCCATTTTCTTGTTTATTTTATTCAGCCCTTACTGAGCACCTCCTATGTATCAGACATTGACTTGTACTCCTTCACATTGCAGTCCTCAAAAACCAAAAGCAATTTTCGAAATAGGGAACACTAAGAGGCTCTCTGAACATGAGAGCATTCAAAACAACTTTGAAATCTTTGGGTAGTAACTAAAATAGAAAGTGCTTCACGAGTAGAAATGTTCTTTGTAAACCAAGCAGTGTTCCCCCCACCAAAAAATAGTTTTAAATCCTTTTGTCACCCCCTCACTGCTTTGATAACACCTAAGTACTTTACAAAACATCACATAAACAATGCACTGTGTAAATCATCTAACAGTTTGCAAAGCACAAAACACCGAATGACTCTTCAGACCCTTTTAAAAATAATTTTGGGGTTATGAGGGCTAAATGGGTAGAGCAACTGGGGCAGAGTCCAAGAATCCCTCTTGGGTGTCCTGATGAAGCATGATCTGATGTCTACCCCTTGCAGATATGAGGTGTCAGGCAGGTCTGCTATCTGTGAGAACTCCAGGGAGGATGTGGTGCTCCCTATCTACCTGCGGGAACGCACCCCAGCCCGAGACTATAACAACTCCTACTATGGCCTGATGCTCTTTGGGCACCCACTGCTGGTGTCAGTGCCCCGGGACCGGCTCTCCTGGGACTCCCTGTACCACATCCTGTTGTACCGCCTCTCGTGAGTCTGCTCTCTACGGGGCAGGGAGGTGGGGTCTAAGCTCAGACCTGGGTGTTTAGCTACTTGGCTGCTACCTCCCTTCCATGGCCAGAAGACAGCTCAAGTTTCATATGGCCAGAGAGGAACCTGTAGGTTTTTTTTCTTTCTCTAAACCTCTGGCTTCGTCACTGCCTCTCCTACATGCTGGGGATACAGAGGTGAACAAAATGGATGAAATACAGACAAGTTAATCTTGTACTTAATTGTCTCCTTCTCAGAGAGGCTCGCTTATTTCTGTGTTTACTGATAGATTTTCATTGGGCTTAAAATCCAGAATTCTTACTGAAGCCCACAGAGCACTGGGCTGTCTGGCTTAACCTCTTCCTTATGTCACACTTACAAATCACTCCTCAGACGCCTTCTCTGGCTGAAATTTACAGCACATTGTGTGTCTGTGTGCCAGAGGCTTATCCCACTTAAGGTCCACACTTCTTAACTGTGGCATGCCAGATCCTCCATTGTCAAGTTTCTTCTTCATACGTTTCTGTGTCATCTCCTGAGACTTTCTGGGCTCCTCATTAAGAACCATTTGTGTGAGGTTTACCAGTAGTTTCCCATCCGTTGTGAGCAAAGTGAATCCCAGGCTCTGCCCTCTCTGAGCTTCTTCTCCACGAGAGTCTCCTCTGTTCTCTCCACAGACGCTATGTGACCAGACCCAGCTCAGATGACGAGGACGATGGCGATGAGAAAGGTGAGGAAGAAAAAGGTGAAAGAATAGACAGGGATGAGGGTTTGTACAAGTGATCCCATGGCCGGAGGGAGGGTCCATGGGTGGGTGGGGTGTCTGGGGTAGGTCTGACCCCTGCAGGATCCACCTGGATGGTCACTGCCACTCAGACCCTGGGGCTCACACAGGCCCATCTCTGACATCCTCCCCAATCTTAGCAGACTTGGAGGATAAGGACAGCATCCCCAAGCCTGGACATGTGGCTAGGGGCAGCTCCCAAGACCCTGGGCCAGAGCAGGCTGGGCCCAGCTCTAGAGTTGCAGGTGGGAGCCGGGCCCCTGTGGACAACTCTCCTGGACCATCTCACTGGCCCCAGCGAGCACGGCGCAAGCACTTGTTCACCCTGCAGACAGTGAACTCCAACGGGACCAGCGACCGCTCGAATTTTAACGAGGATACTCATGGTGTCTCCCTTAGCTGTGAGCCAGGGTTGGGGAGGTGGGAGGGAGGTTTCCTTGGAGCAGGGCCCATGACCACCTCCTTCACCTCCAGCCCAGCCATACATTGCCATCGACTGGGAGCCAGAGATGAAGAAGCGTTACTATGACGAGGTGGAGGCTGAGGTAAACGAGGTCCCAGGAATGGGGGGGGGGCACTTGCAGCTTGCACCCCTTCACATATGCCGCACGTCACACACACTCCTAAGTTCTCCAAGCCATGATCACAGAGCTCCAAGGGCTTCAGAATCCTGTCTTCAAAGTCCATGTTCTTAACCACTTGGCATTTGTCTTCCACCTCCACTCCTTTTTGTCTACACATTCTGTCCTGTCCTGTCCTCAAGCTGATGGGCCATTACTCCCCTGCCCTAGGGCTACGTGAAGCATGACTGCGTGGGGTATGTGCTGAAGAAGGCTCCAGTGCGGCTGCAGGA